ACATACCCGAGAGCTTGGCCAGACCCACTAAACATAGTCTAGGTCCCCCTACATGACAGATTCAGGCAGGTCTGGACATTGCTGGATGCCCAGCTAACTCAATCCTGGCCTAAAGCAGCCTCAATTCGAATTCGATTCGGCTTCATGTGAAGTAAGCTAGGCAGCGAAAACAGGGCATAGCCACACAATGCAAGTCATAAAAAGCCAAGAAAGGGTCACTTGAGATTCAGCGACAAATGCCCCCCTAGCTAGGCAACAATGCAACCCCTTAACCTCTACTCCCTGGGGCTGTTAGGTCATGGACTGGTCTACCTGGCGAAGCGATCCTTGACGCCCCCCCACCCCACCCCTCAAAATTATCGAACGCCATTGGTCGGTGGAAGGGGTGGATTGAGGGCCTCCTCCTTGCTCACCAAACATCGACTATGTCCCCTCCCCTAACAGGGAGCAGTTCACCCCCTGAGCTGGACTTCCTGGCAGCGGTCAGTCCTTGGACTGGCTACCTTAGCACATGAGTCCAAAACAGTTAACCCCCTCCCTCCCCTGAAATTTTGCCAAACACATAGGCTTTTGAGGTACCACCGCTCGGAGCAAGGTTTTGTGTGCCAATAGCACGGTCAGGCGTCACGCACTAATATATAGCTACTCGAACACATCTGTAAATCTATAACGTGAAGAACTTGACTTCGAATTTCTAGAGAGGATAAACCGTTTCCTGGTTAGTAGCAGTCAAACATATTGTGTAGTTTTTTTTTGCAAAATATTGTTCTCCCTCAGAATATATATTCCCACGTTGACATTTATAACACCAATTTAAAAAATTCTGAATAAAAAACCAAGGTCGTCCAGGCCTTGCTTCAGAGCATGTGTGTATTTTGCAGTTTATTCACGCTGAATAATGCCGGGCTCATTTTTAGTTCGCACTAGGGTTAGATCGTTGTAGCCGCGAGCGAGAGAGGCTGTGAACAGTCTAGCCAGCTGATTGAAGTAAGGCAATTCAATGAAATGCTAACTAACAGCAAGATTGTTCTCATAGCGTAGTATATCTCTGACATCCCCGTCATTATTATACCTGAGTACCCCCCCCCCCCCCCCCCCCCCCCCTCCCCCTCCCCCACCCCTCTCATTTTCGTTCCAGTGAATAACAAAGTTATCTTATCATTATTTAATGGAATTTATTTCAGGTCCCGTTATCACAAAAAATTTGCAAATCAATTGTTTACATCATTCAGATCATTTATAGACATAGTGAATTATTATCTTTCACGCCCGATGAAACTGTACTATATGTTAGTCTCACTTTAAAATTTAATCATTAGTTCGCCTTTTTAAATAAGGCGATGTTACGTTTACGTATATATTTGTCCACTTAAAGTCTTCCAAAAATCATCTAACTGTTCTCGTATATAAGTTTTCTTGTTTCCAATGTTGGTCTTGTTTATATGGGGGAAATTCCGGCACTGGACCCTGTCTCCAAAGGCTCACCTTATAAAAAATATAAACAAAAACAGAACAATTATTCCACTTGGTTAGATTGTCCCCCCAAAACCACCACACGATTTGTACAGGGTTACAGGAAATACATTTATGCTTCCGGCATAACACAATCCTTGTAATATCTCAAGAGGTAATGTTTTGAACCACAAGTCAGCAACCTAAAAAGCACGATAAAAGCCACTCATTGCCTTGTAATGGCGAAGATCCCTTTCATTACACGTATAACGTCGTTAATCCTACAAAGAAGAAAGAGCTGCTTTAATACGCTTATCACACTTATAATTCCCCACTATGACTTGATGTCGAAAACGTTTCTTTTCTTGTGACCAGTTCAGTCCGCCGGTTGATCCGCCATCTTCTCGTTTTCCATAGTACTTGACTTTCGTCGGTGTTTATCTACTCATTGGCTAAATTTAAATTTAGTCTGGCAAACTTAAGATACATGAATCGATAGCGACTATACCATTTAGCAAATGTAGCAAATATTAGAGCAACACGTTGAATATTGAATGATCTATTTCATGTTGAAAAACATCAAATGTAATTACAGTATGACTGGGCTGGGTGACCGTTTCCTTTGAAACCGGCTTCAGTGTCACTGTAACTACATTTTGCATGTTCTACTACATCTAGTAGTTATATCTGTTTGGGTAAATTTCTACATGAACTTCGAGATATAAATTCATGATGACGTCAGCAAATATGTACACTCTTTTTTTTGTAAGGATTTTTTTTGTAAGAATATTGAGGCTGGGATTGGCGAAGTTTTAAGAATATGCTAAGACTATACTCAAGTGTGAGATTTAGTTAAGAATGTTTTTGCATGTTGATACGAAAATAAAATACAATAAAATCACACGAATGTTTCATTTTAAAGTATGGTAAATATGTACCATAACGAGTTGACAAAACGATAGAAACGTGCACAACTCAGGTTGTATTTATATTAATGTTATTTTACTGAAATACTATACTCCCGATCACTTTGTAATCTAAGAATAACGATGTATTAAGAATATTTTCAGCCTAAAATCGGCAGAAAAATAAGAATATTCAGCCTGGCATTAAAATATATATTCTTACAAAAAAAAAGTGTATACGTTTTGCCAGCGTTAGTGAAGGCACAATTTTACGTTTTGGGAGTCTTAATAAATTCTAGCTATACTCTATGTACTAGTTACTGCTGGCTAACCTGCTTTATCGCCTGTTCCTGTTTCAACTCCACTGGACTCGAAGTTTGCACCTTAAAGAATAAAAACAAACAAATTATTATTTATTTCTAAAGGCTAGAGCAACAAAGCGACAAACTGAAAAATATTGGTACACGTATTTTTATACGATCCTACTTAAAACAAGAGGGGGTTTATGAAGCTTTCTCCAACACTCAAACTATACTTAAGAAAAACCTCGATATGTTCTCGATATGTTTGAAAAAAAGTGAGAAAAAAGCGGCTCGTAAACAGTAAAAGGATCGTTCCCCAGCTGAAAACGTCAGTCGTGTTCGTGTCCACAAACCAAATCCCGGGAGATGACAGACATTTCGCTCATCGATCGCTTTGGTGCATGACACTCCCGCTTGCGTGCCCGGGGCTTGCGTGTTTCAGCTTGCTGCTACGTAGAGGTACGTTGTCAATATTTGTATTACCAGGTCTTGCCTAAATAAACTACAATTTGAGCTATTTCTACGCGCGGTCAAGCTACCTCTGCTGTCTTCTGTACTTGGCAGTCCTCTTAAACCGATCAGTGGTTGCCAGATTTCAGATTTTCGTTCGGATTCTCCCTGGAGGAATTTCTCAGTAGCAGACATGATCGAACGTCCGTCAGTTACAGACAACAAGAGAAACGCAACCAGCAGAAGGAAGGCTAGTTTCATGGCTTGGCAGATTGAAGGCAAAATGAAGAAACGTTCGTGCTGCTCTCTGATGCCGTCAACTGACACTTTACTGAACGCGGAATATATATGATCAATTCAATGGGCGGATGCAATTTAATCTTTTAAAAAATTCATCCTCTACGTATCAAATTAGTAAGGGTTAGTATACTATTGCACATATTATTTTATCCTCACGGAATGTTTTTCAACAATGATCTCTTCGACTTTACGAGTTCAAACTAAAATGTAACAAAGCCGCAAGGTCTCTTTTATAAGAATTGTAGATGTTTTTGAAACGGAGATATTCCAAGGAGTGTCTTAGGCAGCAAGTAAAAATCTAAAAAAAAAAAACTGGTCATGTAAACGTGCTTACAATGTTAATGCTAATCCCGGAAACAAATATTTCAACGATCACTCTAGGCGTACTTGTATACGTAAGCAATCATTTAGCTTCATTGGTTCTGTTTTATAATTATGCTCTGAAATATTAGAACTTCCTCTGTACTGGGTGTGTGTGTGTGTGTGTGTGTGTGTGTGTGTGTGTGTGTGTGTGTGTGTGTGTGTGTGTGTGTGTGGGGGGGGGGGGGGGGGGGGTATCCCATGTGGACGGGGATGCTCGTTGTCTCAGTCAGTAGGAGCGTAAATTACGGATTTTGGTATCACTTATGGTATTCAGGACGGAACGCCAATATTTTTAGCCATCAATATATCGTTTAGGGTTACACGTGAAGAAGTAAAGAACGCCTTCATACTGTGTTGGTTGTCTACACCGATCAGGCATGAAATCTGGTATCCTTTAGAGGTCAAATAAAGCTTGAGCCACGCCCAAATTGGTCTCCTTTAGGGGTTTAGTTTAAATTTTCCGACGACCATTCCCGTCTCTTTCACATGGGAGCCCTCTATTCCGGATCCCAATGAACTAAAGGGGAGCGGATTTGAAAACATTTGTTCTGTATCAGCTGCGTAGCCTTTTCACAATTCTGAAAAATGCATTACATGAATGGATATTGTTGAGCTGACGACTGAGAAATGTAAAGGATATTCAGCAAATCTGTTTACAGATTATGCTCTGATCTGACATATGGGATTTCCTGTGAGAAAGGGACAATGACTTGAAGCGCTATTTATATTGCAATTTCGATTATGCTCTGAAATAATAGTTTGTACTGACATGTCAATGAATATGAATTTTCGAGTGACTCACCGGCAGATGGACCAGTGTCGTCTTTCTCAAGGAACGAAAAGTAGGCGGAGTGGGAATGGAACTAGATGAGCAATATCTATTTATGAAAATATAGATTTATGACAAAATTGTAATTATAAAGTGAAATGCAAATAAATGTATTGTATTGTATTGTGTTGTATTATTGTATCTATGTAAGCAATATCTATGTCAGCAGCTAAATTTCGTTGCCAGATGCAGGAGCTCATTCTCCTGCCAGATGCAAATACCTTATGTCAGATTTAAATCGCAAAAAAACAGTATTGATGCCTTATAGGTAAAGCCGCACTCGGGCCAAAGTGGCCCACAATGCCGGAGCTTATCCCGGTTTCCTTAGCATGAAGCCGATCGCGACTTGGAGTATTGCTACCGTGAGAGTTAAGTGTCTTGCCCAAGAACACAACACAGTGACCCCGGCCAGCGCTCGAACCCGGACCGCTTGATCCAGAGTCCAACGCGCTAACCATATTTTTGGCCACCGCGTCTTCCACAATTGATGCCCTATACCAGACCAAAACTGATCTAGATATATCAAAAAACACGTTCCAGACTAAACATTAGAGTATCAGCTCCCCAAACCAAAACAACCAATACAAATTAACATAGCAGCCATCAATATACGCATTGCGGACCTTTTTTATTCGGAGGCCGATGTAATAGGTTCGCTATGCGTACATGTTGTTATTATATATGGCTGGCTCTGTGAGCGGGCAAGATGAAGCAAATCTTGTGCTGTGATTGGCTACTCGCGCGGTAAAGATGGAGCCATCTTGACCGATCGGGATTGCCCGCTCTGTTCCCGCAAGAAGACTATTTTCTCGCGTCCTTCTAGTCATGTAATAAATTCTTTATTGACCAAGCTTGTTCGGTCAAGTTTTTTTTTGCATGTTTATGGACCTCGACTTCGTCTCGGTCCATAAACACGCAAGAAAAGAACTTGGCCAATATCCCGCCACCTCACGCTTAGCCAATAACCCATATGTATTGGTAGGAATGAGCTGCTAGGCAATATAATATACACCAGGGGAGATGTACGTTGTGTCCCTCCCAAACTGAACAGAACACTATAAATACTGATACTCCATGTATTCAGTCGGATATTCCCAGCGGATAAACTCGGTCAGTATTCAGAGAAGTACAAGTTCATCCTGGTGCCGACCAATACTTCCTCCGCCCTTTTCCGTTATTTTCTTCCCGCCTTAAAATATACTGACAGAAACGGGGACTCTGCCGAGCACTGGGAAGGCCAATACCAGAGCACTGACAGAAATCGTCTTATCACCAGTACCAGGCGTTGCGTGACGACCCAAATAATAGTTGTGTTATAGCGCAAATTATTGATCAGTGTTCTGAAACTCCACCCAGGGTTGCAAATCCTCAAAGTTGCAACTGTTCGTCGAATATAACAACGATGATTCCAATGCCGACAAAGATAGTTGCTCAGAACTTTAATATAATAATAAAGCTAATGCCGAGTCCTAACTTGGAGGCGAAGGTTGCAATTTTTTATAACTTGACGATAAACCTTGTTTTTTTTTCCGGCGTGTATCAAGCCACGAAGGCAGTTACATGGAATATCTTCTACTTGCAAGTTCCTTAAAAATATATGATTGAATTGATTGATTGATTGATTGATTGATTGATTGATTAATTGAATGATTGATTACCATAAGTAACTACTTCCCTATTATCGGAAATTAACGGTCCTTGAAATAACGCGAATTGAAAAAAAATCGGGCTAATTTAAGTCGTGTCAGGAGCCCATCACTAGTGATGGGCTCCTGGTCGTGTTAATTTTAAGGTTAAAGTATCTACAAGCCTAGTGGCTTATCAGGCCGACGCTTAATTCTCTGGTACCAATTTCTGGATGGAGAGAGGCACTGGGAGTGTATCGATCCGTACCGTTAGCGCAGGCTACTCGATCCGGAGTCCAACGCGCTAACCCGCTTAGGTCACCGCGCCTCACACTCGTGTTGACCACAACCCTATCGTATGTGCAATTCAAAAGTTTCTATATTTAGCAGTGGTACTCACACACTTTACAACCGTATTTTTACAAAAATGTTACAATTAATGGTATCGTTGCACCTCGCATATCGAGCATCACAGCACGTCTAACCTGCGATCAGGCCCTCCTTCTCCGCGAAAAGGAAAAGAACGCCTGATCGCAGGTTACAGCACGTCATATGAGTTTCTCCTGACCTTGTCATCACCTATGTTGAAACGTGATGCCATACAATACAGACGTCAAAATAGACCCCAAATCCCTCAGCAGTAAGTAATTTCGTGCTGATCCGACTGAAGCAAACAGTTCCGATTTGATGCTGCGTGGTATTATATCGATTGAAAATATCACTCCCTTCAATATTCTTCGCTAAGTGAAGCAAGCATGGAAACAATTTACCGAGCAGTGTTGTGGACACTTGTATTCTGCCATTACACATTGTCGCAAGAAGGTAAGAATTGATTTGCATCGGAGATCAAACGAACGATGGCAAACTACTGTCTTGTGTGTTACGTTTAGTTGTTTCTGTTTCGAAATTCCTGCACATATTAGACAAGCATAGTGGATCATTGAACCTCGCTTAATCGATATATATCAATCAGACGAAGTCTTTTATAGCCTAGCGGAACTGTACGCAGTGACATGTCTAAACCTAGACATATGCGGACATATCCTTGGTTGTTTATCTTCGCGAAACAATCGTACAGCACATGTTCCTCTCGCCGCTAAAATTATGAAATTTTGGCAGCACTTTGTGACCTGTCAATCTTAGACATAAATAAATAGAGACTGTAGTTATTTCAGTGAGATTACATGTGACATTATAAGTGTTCTAAGCTTGCCTTTTGAATTGAGTAACGATAAATGGGGTCAGCATGGTGTATTTTAAAATCCAAATTTGTGAAAGTATTGAAAAATGACGTCAATAGTTATTAATATCCACCACTTGACGGTAAACACGCTCTCCAGTCGGGGATAGATTGAAAGGCCGGCAAGCAAGAGACGGACTGCACGGACTGCACGGATTGACATCACACCACAAAATGCTTTTCGCTCATGTACAATTAGGACGAGATATGAAATGAAAGGAAATCTAAGAAGTAAAAAAATTAAATATGGCCTAATAAAACGAAAGAGCACAGATCTGAAGCTGGCGACGAATTTTCTAGACTTCCTTTAGCAGAGAGAGCACGTGCCAAAATGTCCGACGGTGTCATAATAGCGATGACGTCATGAAGTCGAGTAATCATGTCGGTAGGTGGGTCTTCCTGTCGCGCGAACAGCTTTTTTTTAATTTAACTCATCAGGGTTACTCAATAATTTTAGAAGGCAAATATTTCGATTTCAACTATATGCAAATATATTTGTGGACTACGTAAATCAAACTTTGCGGAAATTATGACGCCAATAATTTCCGCATTGTTTGATTTACGTCGCGTGGTCTTACGATGCAGTAGATTTTTCGCTTTTCCTTATATTTGTCAGTCCGCCAGGAAAGTTACGGACGAATATCTCTCTCCTCATGATCCGCCAGAGGCTCCCTCTGGAAATAAAAGCGAGAAAGGGGAGAAAGAGCGCACGCGAGCGCACCCCACCCCACCCCACCGCGCGCGCTTGCGTTTTTCTCTCTCTAGTCTCCGCGCGCTTTTTATTTCCCTCTTCCCAATACCCCAAGAAGCCTCTGAATGAAAAAAAAGCGATTGACCCTTCTCAACGACAATTTTTTTATAAAACAGTAAAATTCAAAACTGAGTGTTAAGAGCGAATGTTACCAACGGTCAGACATTTTCAAAATATTGTGGCCACAGCCGAAAAATCAATTCTGCTCATATTCTCATGTTAGGTAGACCTTAATGTGAAACAAATCACTGCATACTTTGTTTGGCTGAATATCGATTTATTTTCGAGAAAATCGATAATAACCGAATTCGGTCAAAATTCCGCTTTTGGAGCTCAAAATTTAAGGCAAATCTCGAAGCTTCGCGTAACAAAATAAAACATTCTAGAACAATAAAAACTACCACATCTTGAAGATCGATATCGAAAGATATTTTGATAGCCATTTGAGCCATTCTGGCATTTTTATTAACAAATTATAATTAAATTTGTCCGACCTACTTTTAACTCGATTAAAAAATAGGTCAAAATTAACCTATTATTTAAGTATGTGCTACACAAAATAATTCATCGAAAATCTGGCTTTTGGAAGGCGAAGGGTGCTTCTTTTCGATTCCCAAAGGATTTTTGGGGAAATGATTCAGCGCGATGTAATCAAATTTTAAAGTTGGATAAAATGCGCTGATTCAACGCATATCGAAAAGTCTTTTTAATTAGTTCAATGTGCACATACACGCAAAACTTTAATTGTTTCGCAGTTTTATACGTTCAACCTACAAACTAATTTAACATAAAACCTCTAACCTTTATGTTGTTGTATCAAAGAAGAAGGCTATAGTCCTGTAGTTGTTGCTTCCTTCGCGATAATTGCAGCTCACTGAAAGATGACCAGCACGCCATGTTTGTTTAGTTAAGCCGTACTTCGGACGTGTTTGATGGGAAGATTCTCTGTTTCCATTTTCGTTCAAAAGAGCAGGCTTCAAGTACTTTCCGTAAAAAAGTATTTGATTAACCATTAGTTTTGAACTGAACAGCGAACCAAATGCGTTAATTCTTGTCTTGTAGCTTCTTGTGGAATTTAATTAAGTCAGAACGGGTTTCAACTGAAATCGGCAACTAACTACATGTAACGCAAGAAAGGAACCGGAAGTTATTTTTTATGAGGGATGGCTGGAAGAGAAGAGAGTAGGGTGTACAATATAAAAGCCTTATTTCATTTATAGTTTCTTGTTTTATTTTTAATCTTTATCGCATAAGCGCATATTTTCTGACATTGGCAATAATTCAACTTGTTCTCCCGAAACCTGAAAAACCCCAAATCAATCCCAAGCCGAAATGGCGTATATTTCAAGTTGTATATTATTATTATCTTCCTTGTAAGCCAGCCATAACTTTCAATAAAGTTGTAATGTCATTTTTTATATTTTTCCAATAATAGTAGCTTTAGTCCGGTTGCGCATAGTCAAAGACCAAGACCCCTTCATATATTGAGCTATTTCAGTACTTTTCCGCACAGATACGTTCCTAACTTCCGGAGGCAGACTCGTACCAGTCGTTATTTATATGTTTCTGGGATGAGAGAAGATTGGATACGAGAGTGGTTGAGGCGCGCGGGGAATCATGAAAGGGGACGAGGGAAAATTAGCCCATAACCCCCGCGCGCCTCAATCCACTCCCGTATCCAATCTTCTCTCATCCCAAAAACTTATAAATATCGATTGGGTACGAGTCTGGACCGGAGGTTATTTTTTGATGGGTGCTGGAAGAGGGTGGGGTTGAAGATACCGACTGATATCGTTGGAGGATGATGACTCAGTGCTACCGATGGGATGGGCTCTTAAAGTCAGCAGCACTAACAAGAAA